AAAGAATTAAAACAATCAAAAAGGGAAGAAGTAAGCCTTTTTATTGCAGAAAACCTCTATAAATCTCTCACTTCAAAGGTTAAAAAAACCTTCAGTTACTTTACAGTCAGTTCTTCTTTTTTTGGAAATTTTCTTGCTATTGGTATCACAGGTGTTACTTGACTTTTCTTGGTCACTAGAAGTCAAGTTTTTGAGTGAAAAGATTTGTAAATAATAGAGAAAGAATAAAAGTGACTCTTGAAGTTATACTTCAAGTTTTTTTAAGAAAAGTATTAAGACTTTATTAGCAAAGAAGTATAAAAACTTCTTGTGAACATCTTTTTTATGTATAATCAGAGAATCAGTAGAAAGAGTTTTTCTTTATCTAAATTATTAATATAAAATTTATTAATAATAATAATATTATTATTAAGGAAAATATATACAAAACTCTTTTTACGGATTCTTTAACTATATACAAAAAAGATGTTCACAAGAAATTTTATATTTTCTTGTTAATAAAGTTATTATACTTTTATAAAACAACTTGAAGCTTGTTTTCACTTATTTCTTCTATCCTCTCTTACTTGTTTATAAACTCCTTTAAATAAAAAATTGGATCTTTAGTAACTTAAAAGATTTAAGTATTCACTTTCTCTAATAAGGATAAAAAGATTTTGAAAGTAACAAAAAATAGAGATTTTATTGGTAAAAAAAAGCTTATTATCTACCTTCTCATATACTATCTTGTATCTTTTTAAAGTATCTACTATTTTTTCTGATTTTTTTAAAGGATTTTGCCTATCTCAGTTTGATTCTGAATTTTTGGTAGTACAATATTACTTAATATCTAATTGGTTGACACGAAATATGTTAATAGTTTAATTTTTTTTTTTTTTTTTTTTTTTTTTTTTTTTTAACCTGCAATCATGTCACAATAGCATGTCTTTATTGAGATATTGAGAAATGCCTAAATATTTTACAGACTTTCACAAAGTGACTAATTTATTATTATATATTATTAGTTAAAGAACTATACTACTTAAAAAATATAAGGAGTCCATTAAGCTAGTTTGGACTAAACAAAACTAAACCTAAACTAGGTATTCTAAGTCAGATTTAGGGAACAATATTTTACTCTCCTAGTAGTTTGGCAATAGTGCCTCTAAGTCAACTAAGGTTATTGCTAACAGTTTGTTACTGTAGATTATCTCAAAAAATGATGAATTGCTAAAGTTGACACTGGGAAAAAGAGAAAGGGAAATGCAAATCAAAGCTCTTTAAAAGGTTCTTGCTCTATTTCACAGTTTTCTATTGAAAGGGATTTGCCTAATTGGGATATTTTCTAAACTTCATGACATTTGAGGAACTTAGTTATTCCTGAAAGTGACTTCAAGAAGAATGTTTAAGGAACTTATCTTTTTTTCAATATATGGATTTGCTTATTGCTATTGAGGCCAGCACCATATTATGGAAAAGTTTGTTTAACCAGAATAAAAAAATCTTTTTAAGAACTTTGCCTGATTGAAATAGAAGCTTGGAGATCTCGGCTTTTGTCCAAGAAAACCTTTTCACCACCTGAGGAACTTAATGAGAGATGGGAGTTAAATCTTCTTTTTATACATATCACTCATCTTTTGGTATCATAATTATTTTTTGAAGATTGAATATATACGATTGGAGGGGACACTTCTTCTAGAACTTTCTTTTCTACATCACCAATGATGTATCAAGACACATGAGTATAACCAATAGGAGCTTATTTACATTTCAAAAACTAACGTATTTCATGTCAGCCAATCAATCACCTTTGGTAAGGATTTGTGTTATCAAAAATTCAAGGTCAAACTGAGATAGGCAAAATTCTCCAGAAAATCATGAAAGTGATAGTTCTAAGAGGTTCACAAATGACTGGAAGAAGAAAAATAAGCCCTTTTGTCATCAAAAATCTCTATATACCTCTCACTTCAAAGGTTAAATAGCAGTGGTTTTATTTACTATGAAATAATGTTATACATATAATGATTTATATATAGTAAATATATTACATACTATATATACTAACTAGTCCTGTTAAGGGAAACCACATGATGCTCTCTTAATTTTTCCTAGAACAATTTTATAAAGTAATCTAGTTATCAGACCATTGTATATACTCTAATCTGTCCTCAGTTTTGGAACTTCAGTATGGTCCACGAATTTCTCTTCCCATCAAGGTCTTCTGATAATTCGTCACAGGCAAGTTTGACCATGCTTTTAAGTATTCCACCAGTATAATGTTTACTCTCTTCAGAACTTTAGCCTTCTTAACTTGACAACTTTTTTATCAGTCGGTAAGATCGACGAAGTGTCTTTGGCAATTCAGTTTCTGTCCTAGTTAATCACGAGATTAGCCTCATCCTCCTTCACCTTATTATGATAATACTAAAATACTGATTATCCACAATATCCATAAACCAGTTTGATCTGATAAAGATCAGTTATAGGTGATGCTGTATTATAGTGGATCCTTCTATTTCAGGTATTGATAAGATAGCCAGAACTGTATCCAATAATAAGTATTAACCTGTTATCCAATAGAATTATTTCATTGTATATAATATTTTTTCACTTGGTCTTTAGGTAATATTGAATTCTGGATCTTGTGATTGTGACCTGGAAGTACTAACATTGTGTTATAGACCCACAGGTCTATGTTAGTAGCTTAATATAAATAAGCTTTCATGTATTGTGATAATATTATTGATAATTAAAAGAGTTGATTATACCCCATATTCATTTTACTCTTTCAATTGAGTTAATTTACAGATCAAGTTTTATAAAGCCAATAAGATACAAATAATAAGTTCTCATATAATGAAAAAGCTATTATTTGTTCAAGCTAAAATCTTTCTTTCCTATTATTTCAGTTAGGCAAAGTTCAAGATCAAGATTTCTTTTTTATCTTAGTCAGGTAATAAAACTGAATGGTCTTTAGTTCATACTAAACTTTAATTCTTTGATTATAGTTAATAATACATTTTTTTAAAAGTTATTGAAAGATATTATAATTAACAAAGATCCTCATTACTTTTTAAAACTCTCTTATTATTATAAGACAAAAGAATTGTTAATATATTTGACTTTTGGAGTAAGGGAAGATGTATATCAGTAAAATTCCTTTAATTAGGTGTGGCTGTTGGAAGGTATTATATTGAAACAATATTATTCAGTTTTTATTAGGTCATATAAGAACCTGAAATTTATTATAAGTCACTTTTCTATTATAGGTGAATAAAAAATTATTATATAAAGAAAGTTGGGATCAAGTATATCTTAAAAGTAAAGGCTCCCATTAGGCAATAAGTTTCCTCAAACAGTACACAAAAAGGAAATCAAGATTAAAAATAAATAAGTTCCTTAGATAGTCAAGAAAAGAAAGAATATTCTAATAAGTGATTTTTTATTGAGAAGAAGTTTTGAGAAATAGGTCTTTAAAGAAAGCTGGAAATCATTTTTTTAATTTTTACTTTTTCATTTTCTTGTTGTCTATATTCCCCTTTCCTTTTTTTCAATCCATTCTTTTATAGTTTTTTGTATTTCAATAGTTTGATTTGACATATGACAGTGACAATCTACTGATAATGATATAATAAATTAGAAGGGTTTTTACTCAAAGACACTATGGAGCAAAATATTGTCCCCAAGGCTAAACTTAGAGGCTTTTATGCTTATGATAAGTTAGTTAGATTAGAATAATAGTTTAGCTGTAGTATATATCATGTTACTTAAATGAAAATATACTTAATAAACTAATAATCTAGCTTAGCTATAGGTACTCAAAAAAAAAATAATAGCATTGTTGAGAAGTATTAGAAAATGGAACAAATTATATTATCAAGGGATAAGAAGTTCCTTCTGTTGATTTTTAGAGGCAATGCCCTTGAGTTTTCCTTTACTCTTGTAAAACGAGATTGCTATATAAACAGGATTGGGTCCACCAGCGGTAGTACGATCATGTGATCATGCATCACCCAATAAGACGAATTATGATCGAATAGATATCACGTGACTAGAGAAATAACGGATTTATCAACTCCGTGTGCTACAATCCTTTCATTTTTTTTCTCCTCTAAATATATAATCCATCCATCCATCTTTCCTTCCGTCCAAACAAACAAACATCTTCCGCAAAAACTCTGCCCGTACGTAACTCTCGCAAGATCAAAGTCTTACAAGTATCCCAAGGTATGTCGTCTCTGTAAAAACAGGAGATGAGAAGACCGAAGCTGCCGTTACCGCCGATTCTGCTCGCTCTCCTTATTTCACCGAATCCAAGTGGCTAAAGTAGAAAATAGAGCCACATTTATGTTATTTTGAACCTCTTCGTGGCCGTTAACTATACATGAAGAAAGTCAATGTTCACTTCGTCCACGGTGAAATGTGATCAGAAATATGATCAGAAATATCTCAAGTGTTTTGGACCTCATCACGTACTCGTCCTCCGACTTGTACCCGGTGATTGAACTATTTTCACATTGCGGCCTTATTTGGAGTTTAAATTAATTTTGGATGGTTCGCACTTGATCACGCCAATACATTTCAACTGGGTCGTTGTTCAAGCAAATTCACGAAATCGATCTTTCACTATCAACGACGGTTAAAGACAAAAACAAAATAACATCTGACACGTGGTTGACGGAAAAGTAGGCTGCATGCGCAGCAGTAACATTTCGTCAGATTAAATGGTTTCCTGATCGAAACGTATACGGCATCGCTCGCAATGTCACATGGGCCGTAGGACAACATGATTCTTCTTCGCTTAATGTTTTCATTTTCGTTATTCTCGTGCATCAAGAGTATTTGAATCGAGCAGCAGAATACGGCGGAAGGCACCTTTTTTTTTTGATTCGGATTTGTGTCGGGAGAACGGTTTAAATGTCTCAAAGTTACTAAATCCTCTGCCATCAAAATCTCTTCATTCACGTGGTGCCGATCAATTTGAATTCAAGCTTTTACCACATCCGAATCGATACCTCAAAATGGCAGATGATTTGATAGACTACGATGAAGAAGACGAGAACATACCCACCGAAGTTGCACTTATCGAACAGCCTCCTACCAACAGTCAAGATAATACCGAGGAGGACAAAAAAGATAAAAAGGGTAGCTATGTCGGCATTCACTCTACCGGTTTCAGAGATTTCCTGTTGAAGCCCGAGTTGTTGCGCGCCATTGTTGACTGTGGATTTGAACACCCATCCGAAGGTTGATATCTTTAGTATTTATAATTCGTTAATTTTTAATGGCCATTGAATCTAAATACCTATTTACATATTCATTTTTATTTCATCAAATATAGTTCAACAAGAATGCATTCCTCAGTCTATTCTTGGCATGGACGTTTTGTGTCAAGCAAAATCTGGAATGGGAAAGACAGCAGTTTTCGTCCTGGCCACTCTTCAGCAGGTTGAACCCGTTCCCGGTGAAGTTTCCGTCATCGTACTTTGCCATACCCGTGAGCTGGCCTATCAAATTAGAAATGAATACACACGATTCAGCAAGTACATGCCAGAAATCAAGATTGATGTCTTTTTTGGCGGAACCATAGTTAAAGAGGATCACAAAAAGTTTTCGAACAAGGATACAGTTCCGCATATTGTGGTTGGTACACCCGGAAGGGTTCTGGCCTTGGTGAACGAAGGATATCTTAAAGCAGGGAGCGTTAAGCACTTTGTGCTTGACGAATGCGACAAGATGCTTGATCAACTAGGTAAATTTGTATTATATTTGATTTTATTTTGTCTATTTGTAAGATGAAAATTTTAGCTTTAACCCAGCTCGTCTAAGGCTTAATAATTATGCCTAATGAGAACAAAATTATCTGACATTGGAATTGATCAAACATTTTTAGTAAGGTTTGATTTATTTTTTGCTTGACTAACATTTATTATTTTTTAAAACGCCACATTGCAGACATGAGACGTGATGTCCAAGCCATATTCCGAAAAACTCCTCATAACAAGCAAGTTATGATGTTTAGCGCCACACTTAGTAAAGATATTCGACCGATTTGCAAGAAGTTTATGCAAAACGTAAGCCGTTTCTAGTTCTTAGGCGGATTTAAAACGTTTTGTCATTCTGCACCTTTATTCACATCCGCAATAATCTGTCAACAGCCTCTTGAAATCTATGTCGACGACGAAACAAAACTCACGCTACACGGTTTACAACAATATTTTTTAAAACTGAATGAGACCGCCAAGAATCGCAAGTTAAACGATCTATTAGATACTCTTGAATTTAATCAAGTGTGCATATTTGTAAGATCCGTTACGCGAGCCAATGAGTTGAACAAACTTCTTTGCGACTGTAATTTCCCTAGTATTTGCATTCACGGCGGTATGAGCCAAAGTGACAGGTAAATTTTGGACACTCAGGTCTAATTGTGTTTTTATTCATAGCCCTATTCACAGTTCAT